TTATTAATTATAAAATTATAATTTATTATAAAATTATAATAATATTTATTATATCTCTCTTTCTTGAAAAAGTTTTTTAAGTAAATTAATATCAACTTGATTTGAATTTAATATATAAAATAAGTGTTTTTCTGAAAGTTTCTAATTTGAATACCCTACAAATTTATTATCAAATCATTCTAAGTTCTTCTACCTAATTTACAAACTATTAGATACCCTAAATACTTTTTATCATTATAAGGACAAGTAATATTTTGATTCATAAATAAAATATATTTATTAAAATATAAAATTATTAGTAAAAATTATATATAAGTAAAAAGGTTATAAAAACAATCTTTATACATAAGTTTGAGTATCTATAGAAATTTGTGATTCACTCAGCTAATTTATCATAAAAAAATCTTTACTTTCATTAACTTTATAATATAATATATTTTTAATATTATTATCTGTATATTCACAAATTTTAACTCCTGTATATTTGCGAACAATTTTTTTACATTGCAATTTAAATATAGACATCTAATTTTATTAGTGCCCTCATCATCTCTTTCCATCAAATATTGTATCTAAAAAATTAAATTTAATATTAAAATAATAATAATTTTTAAAAAATATATAGTATAATAATTTTACTTACATCATTAAATAGTGCATTTGGATTAGTTGAGTTTATATTAAAAATATATGCCACTCTTTCATTAGATGTAACTAGATACTCAATTAGAATAGCAGAGAAATATATATCTTCTATGATAAGTTTTTTTAGTAAAATAGTTAATAACAGGTACTTTAGTAAAAATTTCATAATCATTTGTAATCAATAAGTTAAAATCTTTATTCTAAATAAAATATTTTATAAATATAATTAACAAATTATATTTAACTTTTATTAAAAAAATAATATCAATATTACAAACATAATTAAAATAATAGCAAATAATATAAATAGCTTTTGTTAATTAAAAAAAAGAACTATTCTAGATAAAAACTATAAAAATTGTACTATATTCATTTACTATTATATCAACTCCCAAATCATCCAATTCAATAACTAGAAAATAAGAATCTGATGAAGAATCAATTGTTAAGTCAATTACTCTCTTACAAAAACTCTTGCTTATATTTTCTTTTTTAATTTTATCCATAGAACTATTAGCAGAATTGCAAAATTGCTAAAAAAAAGAATTTCAATCAATAATTTCAAATATTAAATAAATCAATTTTAATTTTATAATATAATATATATATGTACATACATATATACAATGCATAATGAGTACTAATAGTATAATGATTGCTATATACAAGATTATACAAGTATAACAGAATATATATACTAATAAATTTAATAATACTATACTGATTAACTAATTTATATGCATACTCAATATATATATACTTGAAGATTTCTATTATTTCTATGAAAATAATATATTTATAGATATCCGTGTTAGGAAGATGAAAATTTCTATGATTTAAAGTTATAAATTTTATAAAAATGATATATTTTCAGATATTCATATTAGAAAAATAAAATTCCTATGATTTAAAGTTATAAATTCTATAAAAATGATACATTTACAGATATCTGTATTAAGGAGATGAAAATTTTATGATATAAGGTTATAAATTCTATGAAAATAAAATATTCATAGAAAAAATATGAAATAATAAACACAGATCAATATTTTTTATATAGCAAATAGTAGTACTAACATCATATCTATAATTTTTGATCAGTAATTATCATTTATCAAATCAATAAAAAATCTTAAAACAAAAAATAAAAAAATGCTAAAGATCTTGTGAATAGAAATTTATAATTGAATCGAGTCACTGCTATTTATGTCTGAGCATCATATTTTACTATCATTTGTTATAATATTTATAGTTGTACTTATGCATATAATTTTGCTTTGAATATACAAGAAAAACAATAAATTTAACTCATGTGTAGAAGTATCACATATGCCCTGTAGAGGTATTACATGTTAAGTTCTTGATATACGTTTATATTCCTGCTTAACCATATATATCATCTAATAAAATATATGATTTTGTGCTTAATTTGTAATTTTTTTTTTGGTATTAAGGTGAGGCCTTGCTCATATCTTTATTAATAGTTTTTATCATAGTAACTACAAGGAGTTCTAACCTTAATATATAAACTATAAAACTAAAAACTATATACAAGAATAAAAGCTCAGACTACTTTATCTGCAACCTAAACCTACTAGAGTAGTCAAAGACTCACCTAGATTTTTTTTAAAAAAGAGAAAATAAAATGTAGAATAAATAGAATATTTAATTAAATGAATTTAAAAATAAGGCTAAGTTATAAGATTTGTGTATTTAATAGTATAAAATTATAGAGTATAAAGAGAAATACTAGGCTATATTTAGTATGTAAAGTTATAAAGTGTATAAAAGATAAAAGAGTATATAGGGGTATGTAGTTAAAGTGTTAAAGTATAAAGTATAAAGTAAGTTTTAAATTAG